GGGGGGGGGTCTCTGCCCCAGTGCACTTTGGGAGTGTGGTAGTCTATGCATTGTAGGATGTGTAGTGAGCAGGATCTTGAGGGAAGGTAGATAGGGGTGGGGGTGGGGTCTTCCACCCCAGTGCATCATGGGAAGGGGGTCACCTAACCTGGGGCATCCTGGGAGGTAGTTGCTAACAAGTCCTCCCCTTTTTCTGTGGCAGACACTGACTGGGAAAGAGATTGAGATTGACATTGAGCCCACAGACAAGGTACTGGTGGCAGGGTGGGTGGCGGGGCACAGTGTTGGGGGGGAACCCCTCCCAGAAGCCCCTGGGACAGAGACCAAGGACCCCAGGCAGGGTATCCATTCTCGGCGTCTGACCCCTTTCCTCAGAAGCCCCTGGGGCAGAGACCTCGACCAGGAGAGCCCAGCTCAGCTTTGCCTCTTGCTCCCAGAATTCCCCAGGGCAGCATCCTCACACCCAGTGTCTCTAGGTGCAGCCCAGCCCCCTTCCTTCCCTCCCAGAATCCCCTGGGGCAGGAGGGGTGATGGCTTGGGGATGGCACCCTTCCTGCAGCCCCTGTTTGTCTGTCTGTCTGCCTGTCTCTGTCTATGCCCAGGTGGAGCGGATAAAGGAGCGGGTGGAAGAGAAGGAGGGCATCCCACCACAGCAGCAGCGCCTCATCTACAGTGGCAAACAGATGTGAGTGGTGGGGGGTAGGCCTGGCATATTGTGGGATAGAGAGGGACTGCAGTCTGAAAGCAGGCAGCGTGTGGGGCAGGAAGCCAAGAATACAGCTGTGGATAGGGCAGGGAGCAGAAGGCAGAGCAGTGGATGGCGCAGGGTCACGGAGCAGGTGGCAGAGAGCAGAGCTGTAGATGGGACCAGGGACATGGGGCAGGGAGCCAAAAGCAGAGCAGTGGGTGGGTCAGGGGGCACAGGGCAGTGAACAGCAGCAGGTGGAGACAAATGCAGGGCAGGGAGCTGAAAGCAGAGTAGCAAATGGGACCGGGGGCACAGAACAGAGAGCAGAGCAGTGGATCAGGCTGGATTGAAGTTCTCTAGGAGCTTTAGTGGGTGGCCTGCTTGCCAAAAAGGTTGCCGTCCCCCATGCCCCTCCATCCAGTATAAGGTGGAATAGGACCCAAGCATCCGGGCTTCCAGGCCCCACTCCCCTTGTAGAGCTGAGAGCGAGCCCAGACATCCTGGCTTCCCGCCCCTCCATGCTATCAGAGGGAACCCTGGGGTCTGGGCCCCTGCCTAACCCCTGTCTGTCTGTCTGGCAGGAACGACGAGAAGACGGCCGCTGACTACAAGATCCAGGGGGGATCCGTGCTGCACCTGGTGCTGGCCCTGCGTGGTGGGGGGCTACGATGATCGGGTCCCCTCCTGTCTCCCCAAAAGCACTGACCCCCCCCCCTCCCCCCACCCCTGCTAGACTGGCCATGCCTTGCCTCTTCCCCTACATATCCCACGGACTCTTACTGAGGACACTGGCTCCATGGTTGGGAGTCTCACTCCTGCCCTGGGGGGGTGGGGGGGTGGGCATCTGGATGTAAACCAGGCCCTTCCCCAGCCCCCATGCTCCATCACTCAGCCCCCTCCCCCACTTCATGTCTCCCTCAATGTGTTTGAATAAAGGTGTCTGCGTGGCTGGGATGCTGCTGATTCTGGGGTGGAACAGGCCAGCAACACCAAGCTCCCTTGTGTGCTGGGAAGGGAGAAGGAGGTGGTCACCCAGAGACCCCACAACCTGCAGTCACCTCTGGGGTGAGGCATGTTGAGGCTGAAAAGATGCAGCTGGCTCTAGGGTGCAGCATATGGTAGGGGGGATATACTGGCCCCCCAGCCTGGTTAGAGATGTGGCTGGCTCTGGGTTGGGGCATGTTGGCCGTTTATACAGGCCCCGACATCCAGCAGCTGAATGCAGCTGGCTCTGGGGTGGAGCATATTTGGGGGTGCTATTCAGCTACGCTTGCCAGCATCGCAGCTGAAAGAGACTTGGGGGTCATGATTGACCACAAGATGAACATGAGCCACCAATGCAATATCACAGCTAGTAAAGCGAACAAAACTCTGACTTGCATCCATAGATGCTTCTCAAGTAAATCTCAGGATGTCATCCTTCCACTGTACTTGCCTTGGTGAGGCCGCAGCTGGAGTACTGCATCCAGTTCTGGGCTTCACAATTCAAGAAGGATGTGGAGAAGCTTCAGAGTCCAGAGGAGAGCCGCATGCATGGTCCGAGGGCAGGAGAACAGGCCTTATAAAGAGAGGCTGAGAGCTATGGGACACTTCAGCCTGGAAAAAAACAGGCTCAGGGGTGCCCTGGTGGCAGCCTATAAGTACATAAGGGGTGTGCATCAGGATCTGGGGGATTGTCCACCAGAGCACTCCAAGGGATAACAAGGACCAACAGTCGCAAACTCTTCCAAGACTGTTTTAAGCTTAGGAAAAACTCCTTTACTGTCCGAGCCCCCAAGGCCTGGAATAGGCTCCCTCCAGAGGTGGTGCAGGCACCTACTGTGGACTCTTTCAAAAAACATTTGGTCGCTTATCTTGCTGGGATCCTGGGGCAGGAGGCTGGACTTTGTCTTTTGAGGTCCCTTCCAGCCCTAATGTCTATGAAATCTGGCCCTGAGGTGCAGCCATCTCTGGGTAGGGTGTAGTGGTGTTACGCAGGGCTCCCCCATCCAGCACCAAGATGCAGCTGGCTCTGGGGTGGGACACTTTGGAGGAGTGGAATATGGAGGCTCCTTCCACCCAGCTGAGATGCAGTTGGTGCTGGGGTGGGGGGTGCTATTCACTTTCCCCCTGAAACACACACACAGCCTTGATATGTAGCTAGCTCGGGTGGAGTGGGTTACATAGCCCACCGTACCTGGCCATGAGATGCAGCCACCTCTGGGGTGGGCTCAGTGTAGGTGATGATTATACAGCTGCCCTGAGATGCACCTGGCTTTGGGGTAGGGCTTTCTGTAGTCCCCACCAAGCACTAAGTTGAAGCCGGTACTGGGGTGGGGCTCTTTATACAGGCCCCACCTCATTCCACCCTGAGATGTGGCTGGCTCTGGGGTGGGGCAAATGAGGGGGAATATACAGGCCCCCACAACCCCATCCTAAGATGCAGCCACCACTGGGGTGGGGCTCATGGGAGTGTTTAATGCCCATGGTGTGGTGCAGCTGGCTATGGGGCAGGGCATGTTGTGGGGGTTCATGTGGGGATCTCATTACCTGCTGCTGCAATGCAGCCACTTCTGGGGGAGGTGTTTATACAGCTTCCCCTTTACCCTGAGGTGCAGCTGGCTCTGAGGTGGGGCACATCGGGGGTTATACAGGCCCCACCCAGTGCAGGGATGTGGTTGGCTCTGGGGTGGAGCAGAGTTGGGGGATGTACAGTCCCTCCACTGGCTTCTGAGATGTGGCTGGCTCTGGGGTGTGTTATACATGCCCCAGCCCTGAGATGTCTGACTGACATGGGGTACATTGAGAGGGTTATACAGCCCTCCCCCCGGGCTGGGGTGCAGCTGCCTCTGGGCCGCCCCACCAAGGCCCGGGACCTACTGGTCAACCTCCTCCTGGCTCTCGCCAAGCTCGTCATCTGGCGATCCAGGCAGGAGGCTCTGGCCGGCAAGGCCCCCGGTGACCTCGGGGCGTTTTTCCTAGGTGTCCTTCGCGTGCGCCTCCGAGCGGAGCACCGCTGGGCAGTAGCCGCCGGCCAGCTGAAGCAGTTTGCCGGCCGGTGGGCGCTGTCCGGGGTGCTCTGCTCACTGACCCCCGGGGGAGCACTTGTTTTGAACCTTTGACCCTGCACACACACCCTGTTTTCTTATGAGTTGTCCCACGTAATTTTTTGCGTAAAGATCGGGAGCCCAGCCGCCTTACTTCAGGTACAGTGGCGGCCCCCGAAGAATTTTTTTTCTGTTTTGTCCATGGTTCCAAGGAAAGACCTGCCCGGCAACCCGCCGGGTGCCAGCAACACGGACGGCCACCTAACGGGGGTGGCCCAAGGTTCCAAACTGTAAAATTATAAGAGGAACGACAATAGTGCCTCTGGGCTGGGGCACTTGGTGCTGGGTCATACAGGGCCACCCACAGCCAGTGCTGCTGAGGCTGGCTCTAGGGTGGAGTAGGTTGGGGGGAGCTTATTCACACGGGCCCGCGCTCCCTGCTACTCCGATGCAGCCCCTTCGGGTGGGGGGCGTTATTCAGGACCGCGCTCTGAGATGCAGCCGGCTTTGAGGTGGGGCCAACTGGGGAGGTGATCCGGGGCCGCGGGCCCTTTAAGGACAGGCAGCGCCGAGGACGCTCTAGCCCGGCGTCTCGATAGTCACGTGGGTGCCGGCGGGGACATGGGGGTGCTGCCGAGGCTGGTGGTATTTGACCTGGGTGAGGAGGGGGGAGGTCACGTG